TTCTGTTCATCGAGCTGATTCAGATCGGCTATGCACTTTTGATTTATTTTTTTTAGTTCTATGGAAGGTGTTTGACTGCTAGTTAACAGTACAACGTTGGTTTGCTGAGGAATTAAAGGGAGAACAATTACATTGTCAGATTATGTGAAGCTACTCCCCAGTAAAATTTTATTTAATAGAAATCAGTCATTAATCACTCAGTGATTAAAACTAGACTAAAAAGCTGTTTGCCATAAAGTTTACCCCATGCCATTGTAGGGTATATTTCAGTATGTCTGTCTGATGATGCTTGTTGTTTTTTCTTTTTTTTTCTTTTCAATGGATTGTATTTAATATGCCTTTTTCTGAGCCTTTATGGAAATCGTTCAGCTGAGCATAACCATGCATAACTGTAAACAATCACCTCGTGACCACAGCGACTCATCAGAATGGTGTAACGTGAGCTGGGGCATCCGAGGGCTGGAGCTCATTCTAGGGGGTGGATTCCTCTCAAAAATGCACACAGAATAGCCAAGGAATTTCTCTCTATGAAGGTTAAGAATATTAATACTTTCCTCATGATTTTAATTAGTATCGCTAGTGATGTTAGTGAGGTTTTAAATCATCAGTCACATGAATGCCCTGGGTTGGCTTGTTGGCAAACATGTTTTACTAAGAATAGTAATACGCAGCCGTGTTTGATATGGTTACTACCCCCGGCTCCATGTTCTGTCAGTATTTGCCTCTACTGGGCAAGTGAATGATGGTGTTTCTCTGCAATCAAGTGGCATTTCAGTGTGCCATTACCCCTACAAAGCAGATAAGCAGAAAAGGTCTTTGTTTATAAGTTTTGTGGATGATGATACCAATTTAAAGTCTGTACTGTACATAATTTTGCTTCACATGGGAGGGGTTTATGACCATTTCTGTATGCACAGTCATTTGCCATGGGGTGGAATTACCTTGTCATTAAAATACTCTAACTGATCTTTCTGATCTAATTTCAATGTGGCACATGTTAGGTTAAGTTCCTGGCACCCACATGTAAATGCTACACGTAGTTAAACGTGTGTGCCTCATCAGAATCCCTAATAATAAATTCTGTGTATTCTTAGAAAAAAACTCTTTTAAATACATGCTTCACCATGAGAAATCTGTTGTTCAATAAATGGACTGGAATTTCAGGCAGTTTCGGCTAATTTCACTATAGGGGAACTACGATATTGTGCCAGGATACCGCGGTGGGAGATATTACGACTTAAGCGAAATAAACAGTATTAAAGGCGAAATCCTTATGACGGCCTCATTTGAGCCACACGCTCCGCTGCGCTTTGCGCACGCGCAACCTGTGAATGGGCCGTCTGTGTGACGTTAGCGAGGAGAGCGACTCCTAGCAACGGGCTGCTAACTGCGAGCGCTGACGGGAGGCGGAAGGTCGGATAACGAGACGTGAAGTTTGCAGATGGGCATTTCGTTAGCCTGCGGTCGTGTGTCTTGAGACTTAAGCAAACGAGCTGCCACGTTGTTGTATGTCAACATTTCAGGTGACGTTTTGAAAGGGAAGCTTGGCCTTTCATCCACGGCTAGCTGGTGAGCTGCGATGATGGTTTGCCCCACAGACCCTTGGCAGGTTGCTTCGGGGAACTCCGCGTTGCGACGGTGTTAAGATCCGGGTGAGTGGTCGGGGACACGCGTCGTAACCCGTCGAGCCGCGCTTTTTGGTGATCGGGAATACTCTCGGACCTTTAACCGGAGGTCCTGGCGCCACCGGTTGCGCAACGGAAGAACTTTTAAGACGGATGAGAAGTTACGAGTGGGCCGGTGATCCAAAGTGACAATTCAGATCCGATCCGCTATTTCAACATTAAGCATCGACAAGCGTTCCTGTGCGTGGTTGCCAACTTTGGTCAGCTGGCTGGCGTAAGATTTTCAATTCAGGACAAGTCTGCATGTATGTAAGGGTTTTATTAATTTGTAAATAGATTTGCCAACTACCCCAACGCTTTCGATGTAGGTAATTTTAGGTTTATAATGGAATAGTATAGATTTGCCGTAAACACTGGTTGTAAGTCGCTCTGGAAAAGAGCGTCTGCTAAATAATGTAAATTTCTTTCGTGAGTGCAAGAGTATGAAAGCTGAGTGTCACGCCAGATGCATGAGAGCTGGCAACCCTGCCTATCGTATGACCAAGAGCAATGGGACAAGGGCTGGAGTTAGTACCAAGTAACTGCCTTGTATTGCTTTATAATAACTAGAAAATAGTGCAATAAAAGCATAACGCAGCGTAACGATTGGTAGAGCCCATCACCTCCCCCGTACGCCTTTACTACCGCCGCGTACTGAGGAACGCTCATTTACATCCTGCCTTCCAGGCCAAGAGCACATGGAAAAGGGGTGAGAGTCATCCAGCGCCGGGATGAAGGTCGTCAGTGCAAGGTGCGCCTTCTATGCTGGATTTGTGATAGGAGCCTGCATGCTGTACGGGTTCCTGCACCAGTGGAGGTTGGACAGTGCAGCCCTGTCTTCCAGGATCCTGGAAGAACAAGCAAATGTAGTGGGGTTGCTGGAAAGCAAAGCCAAGAAATCGAAGGAGAAATTCCCCACATCTGTCAGCAGAAGTCTGCTACACTTGGCAGGTACTTAAAGAGACAAGTTTCTCTTGATAAAGGTTCCAGACACAGTGCTTTGAGAAAGGTGCCTCATGTTTGCAAAATATTTTCACTTTTAAATTTCAAATATAATAGCTGATACTTAGTTGTGTTGATCATAATTCCCAGAAGTGGTCTGTAATTCTCTCTTACATGATGTACATGATGAACCACCGGTGATTGTGTCTGTGATTGAAAGGTTGCTGGTTCAAATCCTGTGACTGGTAGAACAATGCCAATAAAGCATTGGTATTATTTTGTACGCATTTCTTTATTCACCAGACTATTGGTCACCGTGTCTTTGCCTACCCCTGCCTTGTTCCTCGCTTAGGGGAAGACCGCCTCGTTGCGGACGAGCTCTACAACAAGGTCCGCATTCTCTGCTGGGTGATGACCGGCCCAAAAAACCTGGAGACGAAGGCACGTCACCTCAAGGCCACCTGGACGCGGCACTGCAACGTGGCGGTGTTCATGAGCTCGGAGGACAACCCGGACTTCCCTGCCGTGGGCCTTGGCACCAAGGAAGGCCGCGACCAGCTCTACTGGAAGACCATCCGTGCCTTTCACTACGTGCAGGAGAAGCACAGCCAGGACGCCGACTGGTTCCTCAAAGCCGACGACGACACTTTTGTCGTGGTGGAGAACCTGCGCTGGCTGCTGGCGAATCACACGCCTGAGGAGCCTGTTTATTTCGGCAAGCGCTTCAAGCCGTTCGTCAAGCAGGGCTACATGAGCGGCGGCGCCGGCTACGTGCTCAGCAAGGAGGCGCTGCGGCGCTTCACAGAGGGCTTTCGCACCCAGGTGTGCAGCCACACCTCCTCGATAGAGGACCTGGCTCTGGGGCAGTGCATGGAGAAGATGGGAGTCCGGGCCGGAGACTCCCGGGACACTCTGAAGCGCGAGACCTTCCACCCGTTTGTCCCTGAGCAGCATCTCACCTCCAAGTTCTCAAAGACCTTCTGGTACTGGAATTACTGCTATTACCCCGTTGTTCAGGTGAGTTTGAGTGCATTTCCTCTTTATGATCATTAGCTTCTATCTCATTCTGCTCTAGGTAACTTCCTTCGTTTCTCTTAGCCCCGTCGCTAAAGCGTAGCACGTCATTTATTCACACCTTCTCACCTGCTCCTTGATCTCCCTTCCATCCCAGGGTCCCCAGTGTTGCTCTGACCTCGCGATCTCCTTCCACTATGTCAACCCGAATACGATGTACATGCTAGAGTACTATACCTACCACCTGCGTGCCTACGGTTACAAGTACCGCTACCAATCAGCCATGCCGAGCACCTTAAGCGGGACCCTGAACGGGAGCATGAGAGAGAGCCACAGACACGGCAGCATGGTCCCAGAGAAAGATGGATCGCCCTCCAATCAGGCCGCAGGACAAGCATGAGTGGTGGCCGGCTCTGTACCTGTGGGGCAGGGTCCTAAGGGTGGGACTGCGACCCCCGGATGCCTGCAAGGTGACCCTCACGCAGCGGCTTTAAGCGCTGGGCTCCATAGCCAAGTGGCCTTAAAGTTTCCACCATTCTTCTTTTAAAAAAAAAGATATTTTTTTGCCCATCAACATTAATCTATTTTACTATGGATGGATTCATCTGAAAGGGGAAACCATATTTTTAAAATCTTAAGGAATTTTTATACAGTTTTCAAAATCTCTTAATTTGGTATATATCTGGGGGGTAATCAAATATTTTATTAAAAGAATGAGCTTTATTGACTATTGATTCTTGTGCCTTTTATTGCAGTTTCAGATTAAAATGCCAAGGAGTATTGATTTTTATAAGCGGAAATGAATGGCTGTACAGTGGTATGTTGAAGTATCCTGTTTGATGATTAAACGTGACATTAAGGGGTGTGGGGTTCTGCTTCACATGGTCTGTTTTTTGTGGATTCTATATTTAGTGGAACCAGCTAAACCTTCTATTGTGTTGTATCCTATTTATATAAAAGGCATTTACAAGCCTGTTGTCAGCCATCTGAGTGAGACATTGGGCAGGGAAGCTCTTGGTTGGTAAAAATAAACACTGCCTGACTTATATTTCCTCTTGCATTACTTGTTAAAAATAAGGATGAACATTGCATGTTTATCAGTGCAAATGATGACAGGTTGATATTTATTATGATGGCTTCTGACAGTGATATTTAGTGAGATATTCATGTGAATGCAGAATTTATCACCAGTGCTCAATGTCAGCATTAAAAACAATTTTAGTGATTTGAAAACATTTAAATTCAAGTGATGCACATGAATATAATTATACTCCATTTTCAACACATCACTGTTGACTTCTGAAGTAAAATGTGAAACTGTTTTTTTTTTTTTGGCCAGGAAGTCATTCCAGTAAAATGGTCTTTCACATTTTATTAGTTCCAATAGATTTAAAAAAAAAAAAAACCTTGAATTTCTTTAATGCTCAAAGGAATTTTTAACTTGAACATATCTCTATGCATAAAGAGCACTTGATCAGAAATAACAGGAGCTGAAGGTGTCTGGGCCACGTCATGAGTCACTGGGTCTCCTGGTTGTCGTAACTATAAACCTGAAAGGGAGGTTAAACAGGATTAGCTGAAACTATTTGTGGAACTAGGTAGTTAGGTGCTGTGATGTGACATTGGGAAGGGTGTAGATGTGTCGTCAGAAATATGAGCTGAGGCATATCAGCCAGTGATCACTGACATGTCTTCTGAATCACATCCATTTTAACATACCTCAGTGTATACACATTTGACATATATAATGTTGCCTACTGAAATCTGCTGTACTGTGTACACCAGTGCTCCAGTCTCCGATGGTCCGCGTTAAAGCTCATTCCACATATCTGAAAAGCGGTCTAGCAGGAATGGCTGCTCCACTGAGGCCCGAATTACTCACCTTAGTTTTCTCCTGTTGAAGAAGTGCTGTTTTGGATACTGTTCCTTCCTCCAGGAATGCCGGTCACCTGTAGGAGAGCACAGATTACCCTGCCCTCCGTGACAGCTAGGAGACTCATGGGGCAAAGTCCTTACTGAGATAACCAAGGATCGGCTAAACTCTGCCAAACACTGAAGATGGGAAGCTCAGGTAACCAGCAGAGGTGGAGATTTCAGGTACAAATCCAGACCAAGATTTTGTTTCAACCAACCAGTTGAGTACTCTGTGACTGTGACTCTTTATACTCAGCTGGTTGGTTGAAACAAAATCTTAGTCTGGATTTGTACTCTCTGGACCTGAAATCTCCACCTCTGGTAACCAGTGTAGGAAAAGCCCTCTAATGGAGTAGTAATGATGTGAAACAGAAGCTCTGATATTGACTAACGGTCTTAGTAATTCCCTGGTTTAACCAGCAGCTGATCTATTGATAACTGATGGATGAAACCAGGTAGGAGTTGACAACACATTAATCCCACCCACTGTATCTTTATGATCCTGGATTCTCCCACCAAGGCTCAATCTGGTACAGTAAGATATCTAGGGCCACACTCCTCATTTTCAGCAGAGATTCTCCGCACACTTACTGGTTTCGGAGCTCCTACGACCCATGAGCCTCATAAATGCATCATCCATATTTCCTGAAAGAAGAAGGCAGTGCATTTCAGTAACTTATCAACATACTCAAAATATCTTCAGTTATTGGTATTAAACCGGGATAATCGGCAACACAGCAATACTAGCTGGGGTGCACGTGTAGTCCTTGTTTGGCTCTTGGCCAGACCAAGGGCCATGGCTAGTGTCTTCCCTTGGAAGACAAAACCCCACAATATCCACACCCCCTGGTGGTAGGAGGTTGTAACAGTCTGTCAAGCTCTCGTCCACACTGCTGTCACTGCAGTCTTATTGCAGTTTATTTTGACAGCATACTCGCGACTAATCCAGCCTGTTTTAATTTTGCCTTTGGTATGTCTTCATTAACAGGCTCATTATCAGAGTCTGTACTCAGAAATCATGGTTAGTGGGTTGGGCACATATGACTCTGGTTCTGAATACCAGTGAAAAAGAATAGATTTGACCGGGCATTTGCAGTGTCAGTCTTGAGAGGGTGTTTTGTGACAATATGCAATAAATAAATATGCCATTTAAATAAATGTAATTTAAATGATTATTCATAAAGCTTGTGTAATACACTTTCCCGTCTTAGGACAGGAACAATGACTTAGGAACAATATGTTCTATCTGTAATGGCCTTTTTCCTAAATCAGGGGTTACCATGGTTACCAAACCATTAAGACAGGATCTGCAAGTTAGGAAATTTCTGTAATACGACCGCAAGACGGAACAAACAAAACGTAGGATATAAAGGATAATTAAACTGACTAGGCAAGAACGATCTGTTGTGACATAGTTTGCAGTGTACCCAATCAGATGTTAGGGTTTGTTTTGAGCCCGCCCACTGAGTTTGATGAGTGACTTTGACAGAAAATTTTAATGGTTGTTGGTATAATTTGAATTATTTAAATAATCATTTAAATGACAATGCAAATTATAATTGAAATAATATTTATTTACTGAATATTGTCACAAAACACCCTCCATAGTGTACACCCTATTATTCGTTTTTACTCATTTTCCACTCTGCGTGCCCTGCGGGGTGTTAATGTTAATGAAACATGCAGAGGGTCTTACCGCTACTCCTTCTGCCCATAAGACCCACGAAGGTGTCATAATCGACATCATTGTATCTCTTCAAATAGTCCTGGGGGTGGCTGTTAAGTCTCAGCCTGTCCTGAAAACAGAGATGGGACAAGATGGAAGTTTGCCAGTGCTTTTCCAATGGAGAAGCACTATGGTGGTGCTTGACCAATAAGTAAGCAGTGAAAATAGTAATTTTCACTACACCCACTTTCTCCCAGTGAGATACACCACATATCATCTGAAAAGTGCAGCTCCATTTTTAATGTCCACTAGAGGTCGCTTTAACCTAATGAGAATGAATTCAGACGTGATATTCTATTACAATGCATAACGCTTTACCAGAATCAGAAGAAGCGCTTTAGAAGCGGTTTAAATACTCTTACAGCTCTTACATTAGTTTCAGCTGAATTATTTTAGGCATTTTATTAGTGTTTTTCGTGCAGGGTAACCCAAGTATTTTTCTATAAATATTTTGAAACATTTTCTGTATGAACTATAGTTGACCTAAAAAAGCACTACTACGTCACCTCCCATGCCTTTCTTAATGACTTGATTATCATCAAGAACAAAATACCACATATTAGATTTTTTAGGGGAATGAAGTACAATTTTGTTTGTCCAGGACCTCGGGATTTGGCTTTCTAATTTTCATTTACGCTAGTTACCATAGAGCAAGAATTTAATTAGAGCGATCTTTTTTGTAAACAAAGAAAACGCGGGTCAGTTCAAAGGCACCAAGCGAGATTCAGCCCAGCACTGGCTCCGCGTTGGTGGAAACGAGACATTAGAGGAGCAGGGTGGTGCGAGCGAATTCACTGTAGAATTTATCTCATTTAATAAACACATTTAATAAAGTTTACTAGCCCAAATACACATGGTTTCAGATCCATCCATCCATCCATCCATAAATCTTACAATGGCCCTAATTCACTACAGGTTCGCGTTTTTGTGTGAATCAGTCACCTACTTTAAAAATCGGAAATATTCACTTTCATGCTTCGAGATAACTAACAGTTAGAGAAGCAATGTCAGAAACAGCAGACGTCGATTAAATCAGCAGCCTTGTTTTGGGCGGTGTGTAGGGTGACCACCTAATCCATGTCAGGAGGGACACTATGAGCTACAACAGGATTTGCAAACCACCATTTCATACATTTCAATTAAAAGGAGCAGGATTTCACTTAAGCACTGGGTTCTTGCCGTGTGCTGATTGGTCAGTCTCCTATAATCATGCATATGTGTCAGTAATGTTAATGCGAAACAGCTGGATGAGTCTTTCAATCTAGGAACTAACCAAACATTTTAGCAGAGCACAGAACCCTTTCAGCTTTAAAGTAGTTCGTAAAAGCTGAAGTAGCTCATAGTGTCCCTCCTGACATGGATTAGGTGGTCACCCTAGCGGTGTGGGATTAGTGGTGACAAAAGATTATTTTCAGCAGAAGGGTGGGGAGGTGGTACTCGAAAAGTTAAAGTGTTGACTCGCATAGGCCTACTTTCATAATATTTTGGGAACGAAAAAAACCGTATTTGCACTACATTTATGCATTTGGGAAAATGTTGTCCACGGTCTATAACGGACATCAGTTAGAGCTTACGGAGGGGGCACCCAGGGGGCCATTGGCTCCGCCACTGTACGGAAGAAGATCGCTCTCCATCCCCTACCTCCACAGACGATATTTGCGGTTCTTGGTCTTCATAACTAGACTGACACGACTGGATGGAAACCTTGAGGAAAAGAATCGCCAGAAGCAGACAACCTTTCATCTTTTGTGCCTGGACCTGAACTCTCTGTAACAGACATGAAGCACAAGGATAAAATAATGGCCAAATGGGAATTTATGAGAACAATATTCAAACGAAGTCCAAAAAAACACATTATTCCCATTAGATATAGTTGTAGTTGATCTTCTGTTAATGCTTTAAATAAATTCCTTGTAATATATCCATATTTAAATTAATTTGGTCTTCCTATAATAGGTCATTAAGGTAATTTGAAGAAGTTTCTCATTATTATGGAATAAAGGAGAGATTAACTTGTACCTTCTTCGCTGTTAAATGCTATGCATCATACCCACTATCAGTTATAGATAAAAGAAAATTGTGTGAAAATGGATGGATGGATGAACGGAAACAGTTACATTTCACTGCATGTGGACGGGTGATGCAGCCTCATCTTACCCCCATAAAACCCATAAACGCTCCTATGTCATAAACCAAACACAACCCGCGTCACAGATAACCACCGAGCCAAAAACTGACATCTCTGATACAAATTTCACATTTTCTAGACCACCCAACACTACAGCACCGTATTTTCCGTTTGGAAAAATCCGTTGCAGTGCCTGCCATTATCAATTCTTTATTATGTGTTAACTTTCAAATTCAGTAGCCTAAATCGCGGCTTCAACTGTGCCAAATCACGCCTCCAT